CCTTTGCCTCCACCCTCAGGCTTTTTCTCCAACAAGCAGAACCCACACAAACTTCCCTTCCGTCTCCCTTGGCATTCTTCCTACATGGCCCTCAACTTTACAGAAGAACCATTTTAATCTTGGGCAACATCATGGCTTGACATTTGACAAAATAGAGATTTTAATCAATCAATCTCAGAAATTCTTTTGGTGTTATGTTGTCAGATATCTTGAGTTGCAAAGATGGTAGCTTGGTTTGGTATGTGTCCTAGACTGAAGCATGAAGAAAATTTTCAATTCTGTATAACTCTTTTTGTATGCCACCAAAAAAAAAAAAAAACGTGTATCTGATCCAGTTGGTACTTGGTAGTTTGAGTTCAGATTACATAGCCTTGTAAGAAGCAGTTGAGGCAAGTTCTGTATTGTAGTATGATTTCCATTTGGCGACATTTGGTGGCTTCCCATGCACACAGTATGATACTTTTGATGCCAGATACTACATGGTTTTTTCTACATATATTTTTCCTGTTATACTTCTAATAAAGTAATAATATCCATAGCTTACTGACATTTCCGTCATTTGTTTTCTAGGCAAAATGTTTAGGTGGTTTATTTTGTCAGATATAGTTGCAATATCTAGAAGCTCTGCAAATTTTAGAAGCATCACTAAATTTCACATGTTTTGGACACTGAATAAATAAATTCAACCCTTACCAAAAATAAATAAATGAAGTTCAACATAAAGCTAAAGGTTAAGGCATGTTATTTACATATAAAGTGGGTTACTTGGATAAACGTTCATGTGTTGCATATTTGGAAATGAGAAATCTTGATCTGTTATATACTTATATCCAATTTAGTGTCCCTACATTTGTTAGGCACTAAATGACAAGACAAGGAATATTAAGGGTGTTTGTTGATGGCTAGAAAAGCAACTCTCACATTGTAGCATGGTTTAAAATGTCCCTAAATTCCCCAATATATCCACTACATATTTGATATTTCCATTTCCATGAGTAGCGACAAATTTTGTTGGAATTGGCATATTCCCCAGTGAACACTACCAGCACTATGCAGAGTACAAGAGAGAGTATTTATAACACAATTTGGTGGCAATATTGTAGATATGAGGAGTAGCAACATTATTACTCGCCTAACTTGCATGATTACCACTTTGAGGCAGCCCAATATTCATTTCGATCATAAAGATAAATATTAGTTTTTGTTGGTTTAATAGATTATTTGGTTGATCTATTAGAACCATTTACATTTTCTTTGAGTTTAAATTTTGCTTTAACTCATTCTATCATGTAGTTTTGAATCTTAATGTTTACAGCATATTCTTTGTTTATAACCTTAGTTTCTTAGCTTTGTTTAATGATTTAGAACAAGAATATAATTTAAAAAGGTGTGCCTATTTCTCTTGTCATTTCATAAAAGGTAAATTGCTAAAATCTCCCCTGAAGTTTTTGACTATTTTCTGAAACCTCCCCTGAAGTTTGGTACCTCCTCTATTAGAATCCTCTGACAAGAGGCATAAAAATGTCCAAAATACCAATGCAGTTACTTTTGACCAAAATGTTTATTTTCCACATTTTCTCTTCATATTATTCACTACCCCAAACCCTTTCAATCTCTTTTCCGAATTTGATTTATTTTCCAAATTGCCTTTAATATCAATCGTTCAAAGGTAAAACTACAATTTTAAACTCTCTTTTTTCTGTTGTTCATAAAGTTTGTATTGTTTTCACTATAGAAACCAGCCTCAATATTAACTGCATGGGTATTTTGAACATTTTTGTGCCTCTTGTTAAAGGATTTTAATAAATGGGGTCTACTTGCAACTGTGTCAGAAAGTTCAGGGAGGTGATTGTAATTATTGAACTTTAGGGGAGGTTTCAGCAATTTACCCTTTCACAAAATACCACTATATATTTTTGCATATTTACAATGTTTCTACCATGGATATAATTTTTACAATATTTCCATGCGACATTTCAGACATGTTTCCTATATTTGGACGACCAATATTTCCATCGACATCTTGAAGCATCATGTATTCCTAGCATTTTGTTGACYGTGTTGAATGTTAGGAAATTAGGACTGATCCTGATTTGTTATATCCATATGTGACCTTACATTTTATTAGGCACCAGTTGATACATGGAATATTAACAGTGTAATCCGTGGCTAGAAAGTCATTGTTACATTGGAACACCATGTATTACTAGCATCTGTTGGACATTTGTCCTTAAAGTTAAAAATGGTTTGGGTTTCTGCATTGTATCAGTCCTAGGGCTTTTGATGTGTTGGTAAGATAGCATCAAGGCCTGTCATCACATCCTAAATTTGAAGCAGGGAAAGCATTAATTGGGAAGAGGCTAGTTTATGCAGAGTGAAACCATCACAAGAAGGGTTACTTGAAGTAAAGTCAGGGCCATCAAAGGAAAAGGAATAGCCCAATAGGGATACCTTCTGCCAAGGTAGAGCTGTCATGGAAGAGACCACATACCATTGGAAAAGGACTACCTGCCTTACCTAGAGTAAGAGTCATTAAGGTGCTAATTGTGTAGCATGGTTGTATGTTATGGCCTTGTTAAATGACTGGATTTGTCATGTTCAATCAGTCCTAGGGTATATAACTTAGGAGCTGTTTGGTAGCGGCCGAAGTTGCTGAACAACTTTGTTTTCTCTTTTAGTGGATAAAATAACTAAATAATAAAATATTCAAGAGAATAGTGCAAATACTGTTATTAAATGACTCATTAGACTCAGTTTGGAAAGAGTGCAAATACACACATGTATTGTGTAAACAATATTTCTAAACCTTGTATTTGCACTGTACATATTCATGTTTGCACTCTTCCCAAACTGAGCTTTAGTGATCTCATATCGGAAGATTAAAGGAATCAATATGAGGAGTTACCGCCAATTAGTTAAATGTAATTGATCATCTCGTAATAAAAAATCAGAAAATTGACTCCAATGGGGTTTACAAATAAGGCTTTATTTGGAGAAAGTGCAAATACAAATATCTTTAGTGTAAAACCTTGCATATAGTCCAAACCTTGCACGTATTTGCACTGAACAATTGAACATATTTGTATTTGCACTCTTCCCAAAAATAGGGTTAAGAAGGGTAGGCAAAGGAGATGAGGTTAAKAGCATGAGAGACAAGATGACATGTCTGGTCCAAAACAAACAACAATTGTGATGGACTCGGCTTCAAAAAAATTGTGATGAATCATTATATTGAAGCAGCCTAATGGAGCAAAATTCTATGTACCAAAACATCAAAATTTGGTAGAATAAAATAAAACCGAACGACAAAAAAAAAAAAAAAAAATTCAACATGATTTTGTGATGATAAAAATCGAGACAGAAAGGACACCGGTTATTAATTCAAAAAATCTCAAAATGTTTTGAAAAGATAAAGTATAATATGCCAAACATATGCAAAAAAAAAAAAAAACATAAGCATAAGATGGATCCACAAAAAAACTATTCAATGGGAGAAAATACCTCTAGAAATACAAGAAAACCTAATTTAAGAGAAATAGGAATTCTTGAGAGAATGGGACTTGTGTAAAATAAGAAAAGGAAATTGAATTAAAAGAGGACTGTATTGGTATGGTCCCTAGGTAGAATTCAGGTTTCGGGGGAAGCTGAATCCATCAATGGGACCGAAAGTGCCTCAAAAGGAAAGCTTTAACTTCTCCCAGAAGGCCAGAACAATGAAGTCATTGATATGCTAAAAAGGAATTTTTACCCAATTGTCTCTATATTATGAGAAAAAAAAAGGCAAATTTATTTTTCAAAAATTGGGCTCCAAGACCTGACAATTGGGTTGGGCGGGTCGGGTTCGGGTTGGATCAAGGCACTTCGGGTTGGGTTATCAAATGCTAGACCCTAACCCTAAATGTTCGGGTTAGGGTTGACCCATGGGTCAATTTGGGTCATCCCAAAAAATAACTGAAATTTTAAAAATAAAGAAAAACTACATGAAATTTTCCAAAATTAAAGAAATTAATCTTAAAATTCTAAATATAAAATAAAAAACTTGAACATTTAACAATTTAAAGAGTAAACAATAAAGAGTAAAGACTAAATAGAAGAAATTAAAGAGTGGAAACTTCTAACAATGCATAAATAGTCCCAATTAGACTTAACAGTCGGGCCAACGAGTTGACCCATGACCCAACCCAGTTTTTTCYGGGTTGGGTCGGGTTGGGTCATTCTCACATTCAGGTAGTTAAGTATGAGACTCTAACCCTGTTTTTTCGGGTTGGGTTGGGTAAACTTTTTGCCAGGTTTTCCAAGCTTAATAGAGCTCCTCCTAAATCCTTTTTGTTCTATTGGGGTCCATTTTCGCAGAAGTGTCCATGGCCCCTACTAAGTTAATTTTTTTTAATCAATCCAAACAAAACTTAAAGGTCGGTATAGAAAAAAAAATTGACAAAAAAAAGAAAAAGRAAAATTGGATTGGAAAGGATCAAAGGAGTTGAAGAAGTTATGCATTGTACCGAAATTCAAACATAATTTCCTTAAAATAGAAACTATTGCTTATTTTGCAAGCAAATGGTATATTGGAGAGAATAAACCTTGTTAAACAAATCAGTTGTTCAGAGTTGTTAAGAACTTGCAAACATTGTTTGTGGATTGGTTTAGCGGTTTAGCCTTTACCCATTAGTCCATTATTTCAAGCCCCATATATTGAGTCGTGGTCCTCGTGGAAAGGATTTGGTAGACCCAAGGTCACCTTCCTTGAACCCTACCAAAGCAATTTGTCCCTATTAAGACCCAAAACCTACGAGTAAAGCCAAATTGATCGAGATAAGCTATTCAAACTTGTTGGAAAACATGAAAAGTGGGCTAAAATTAAACTGATCACAAATTTATCGATTCAAAGTTTTTAAAAATATAAATGCCCCCATACAGGATCGAACTACAGACCTTCAGTTTACAAGACTGACGCTCTACCACTGAGCTATAGGGGCTTATATAATAAATGTTGAGAAAAAACTTTCTTTGCTGATAACTGAACCACACACCCCCTCATAAAATCAGTCCTCAATTTCTTCGACCCCCTCCTTCGTACCTGCAGCCTGCAGGTGTTTGATTCCATTTTCGGTCGGAGTTGAGCAGCAAATCCCCTGGTGTACTTTGACCAAAATAATATTTTACGTGTCTGAGAGGCTGAGAGAAACGAAGGCACGGATAGGTACTCTCTCTCTCTGGTTCTATGTTTGGATTCATATTCTTAGTGATAATTATAGTTTAACCTGATTTCATCTATTTGGAATCTTAAAAACTGAAAGGAGATTCAGTTTCTAGTCATATTGTTTAGGAGGTGATTACTTTTATCTCTGGAAGTTGTCAATTGGGTTCATACTGTGCTGAACACTCGTTATTGCTTAGATATATTACCCATATCGTCTTTCTACACGTTCTCTATATAAGGTAAGGGTCATCTGAAGCTCCTTCAATGGCGTCAAAGCTACCCTTTAGTAATAGCAACAGACATCATCATCATTCTATTGCTACTTTATCCAGTAATTATGGTTCTGCTGGGGTTCACGAGGTCAATAATATTTGAACCTTGGAAAGGATCAACCAAGATTTTTCGCTTTAACTGCACAGGATTAGAATAAATAAAATTTATATTTCACAAGCAGTGATTTGTTGTTTCTGCTAGATTTTGAAAATTAAGTTGCTGAATCACAGTAATGTACATATTAAATTCCATTACATCAACCCAAGATTTATCTATACTGATTTTTGATTCTCAAGTTTTCATCTCTATTAAAAGTAAAAAAAAAAGAAACAGAATCTTATTGTATTTCTGTACCGCCAAAAAGAGAATTTCGTCATTGCTATAACGTTTAACAAAGGAGAACCCAACTCCCCGATTGATGAGTGTTAAACAGTCACTTTCTAAAATGATGTTTCTAATTTGCATTTCCTGCACTCCAAGGAGCATAGAACTAGCCATTCGTTATAGTGGATCTGTATCCTGTAGAAACTAAAGAAATAAAGAATCACCTGTTGTAAGCTTTACCAAATTTGCATGTAAAGCTCTAAAAAGTATCCCATCATCAGTTGGACCTCTGGTTCTGCCTTGCCTGCCTGAGGGGAGGAGGCATTCTGGATTTCTCCATCTCCAAGATTAGCCTGTGTTTTAAGAAGAACGGAATTAGGTAAAGTAGGTATATTGCCTAAGCCTCCAATTAGGTGGATGGTATAGATGTAAGCATTTTTGTGTGGGTAAGTATGCGATTTTGGGTTGTTATGAGAGTATGTAGAGCTAAAATAAGCCCCTTAGTTGCCGTGTTTGTAGTGCCAATGGGCGATATTGTTGGTAGGACTAACCTAGAAGTGGGGAACAGTAGAGAAGCTAGTTTTTATGGAAGGAGGTAAAGGATTTGTTGGACTAGATGTCTAGATAAGAATCTAATTGAATTGTCTTCTGTTAAAGAAAGTATATTGTCTTCATTTCTTGGAAAAGGTAAGGTATTGTATTATATTAAGAATGTAAATAACTATAAACAGCCAAGTACAAAGAGATTCTATACATCAAACCCAATAAGTACAACCAATAAAGTCTATAGACAAAAAAAAAAATTGATTGTACTCTCTAATGCAAATTCTGCTAACCAAAAGCCAGTCCCTGTCTCCCTGGTTAAGCCAAAAGAGAGTTAGCTATAACCTGTATTCTTTTTCTGCTCAAAGACCTAACCATTTCTTTCAAGCAAAGTGGCCCAAATAATAGCTGCAGGTACCAAGTCTATACTGCCCTGTCCACTTTGTTTATATCCTTCACATGTCATCCCCTCATCAAGACAATAACAGAAAATGGGTGGTATCCTTTCCACTGAATAGCCTTTATAAAATGAGACCAAACACTGGTGACATATTCACAATGAATGAACAAATGGCTGGATGGCTATTGCTCCACATCACATAGGGAACATAAAGAACTGTCCATTGCTATGCCCCTTCTCAACATTTTATCCTTAGTAATGCACTTGTTCAGCGCCACCAGCCAAATGAAGAATTTCACTTTTTGAGGGAGCCACTATAGCCCAGATTTCTTTGTAAGAGAAATCACTAATTCCACCTTCAGCCAGCCTCCCATAAAAGGACTTAACTGAAAAGACTTCTGAACTGTGCTCCTTCCACTCCAAATCCAGCCCTTGAGGATTGCAATTCTGGATCTGAACAAGAGAAAGCAGATCGGAAATCCACTCTAGTTCCCAGTCATTGAAAGTATATCGTCTTCTAAGTAGAATAGAATCAGTACATACTACATAGTTATTCCATCTGGAACAAGTGAAAGCAAATCGGAAATTAAATTGTCTTCTAAGTAGAATAGAATGCGTACATAGTTATTCCATCTAGGATTTATAAACACATACTAACCATATTAATTGTGTTCTTTTGTTTTGACCAAAAATTGTTCTAGGTGGATGGGTTGAAACTTGAAACAAATGATTTGAAAAGTTTATTGAGCTTACAATAAGCCACTGCAGTTTAATATAACAAATACAGTTCCATTTTAGCATTTGTTCACATTCGTGTACATGATGTCACCGAAAAATTAATAATTCCAGTGAGATTTTGATCTAGTTATTTTATTTTATTTCTGTTCATCGATGCAGCTAATGCAAATGCCCCAAATCTAAGCTGCTAACTTCTCAGGCTCTTCACCAAGGTTTACCTACTGGAATTTGTGGACATCTTTGCACCTCTCTTTAGTGCTTGGAGTTAACTTGAGCTATTTGGTTTCAATGTGTTTACAAAGGTGTTATTCTTTATACATGGAAGTTGTGCAGCATGTTTCTGCAATTCCCAAAGCYTAGAGTGTTAATAAATTGAAGTGGTTCTTTATAAAGAATTTTTTAAATTACTCCTTGGCATTATAAACATTCTTCAGAATGATGCATAAGAGTCAAATTTCTATGAGATTTGGGGAAGTTTTGCCTTATATAATCTATCATTTTATTGATATTTAATAATGGCTATGTCGAAGGTTCAATAATTTAATAATGGATATGGCATTAAGCAGAACGGAATGGTGAAACAGGATTCATGTAGCCAACCCCATATTAGTTGGGATAAGGCGTTGATGAGGATGATGCCAAAGGTTCAATAGATCATAGGTCTGGTAGCATTAGATTCCAAAAGGTGGGTTCTGAGATCAGAATGCAACTCAAAAGTGATGACAGAGACGTCCTAGCAAAACAAGGGATCATAAGGGAGAGTCTTTATTGGGCAGTGCTGTAATGTTTGATATTTATTGGATCAACCTTTTCTAATAAGGGTTGAATTCTGTATTTCAGTTTAATTTATCTCTAATGAAAGTCATCGTTTCTGATAAAAACAAAGTGATAACAGAGTTCAACCTGATACCCAAGAGAAGCAAAGTAGTGCAATTTCATTTTTAGGGTTAGGGTTTAAGAGCTTTACATTCCTACATGGATTTTTCTTTCTCCCAGTGTCTGTTTCAATCCACATATATTTTCTCAACCAGATCTTGTTCTTTAGGAGAAGTAGAGCTACAGAAGTGAAAAATACTAAGTGGTGTAGGATTTGCAAGTTGTATGATATATGTCCTTGATTGTACATACTACATATTAAGTTCTAAAAGTCAGTGCTCTGAAACAATACTATAGAGGATAGCAGGTTGTGTGGTATCATACATTTTGAAGACTGCTTTTAGATAGAGAGTTGGAGGGATGTGCTAATCTTTTTGAAAGATAAGAATCTTTGAAGGTCAGTCCATAAGGGATGTCTAGATGGTAGGTTCACTATGAAATCTTATTAGGATGCTCTTTTCAGAGTATCAGGTGGAACAGTTTCCTTTAAAAGGGAGTTGAAAAAATCTAATTCCACCAAGGGTGGAAGCTTCTGCATGTTTTTAATCTTTGGACAGTATTATTCCATCTAACTAGTTAATGTTTCACATGTAAGAATTCTGAGGAGGATGTGCAACATGCATTAAAAGGTTGGTTTTGTTTGGCCTCTTTTTCAAGTTATTTTGGATGACCTAAACACAGATATGATCAGCCACATGAAATCTTCTCATCTTGGCCTACTCTTAATGGTGGTAGAAAAAGCAAATACATGCTATTTTTTTTAAGGTAAAGTAATTCATTAAAATCAAAAGCCAAATTACAAAGAAGCCTCTGTACAATGAGAAGCTGTATAGCAGGAAAACTGTTATCCACAGATTTCCAACCTTCCAAAAGACCAAGAAAATACTATAGGTTCCTTACAAATAGGGAGCCTGAATCAAAAAAAAGGAAGACATATGCCTATTTTTGGATAACTGATATTAGCTGCCAACCAAGAGTGTATCATCCCCATAATTCTGTTAAAAACTTCTTCTTTAGGAGTTTGTCTTCCTTCAAATAGCTTGGTATTTCTTTCACACCATAATGCCCAAAAAACTGCTGCAGGAAGGATACTCCATGCTACCTTTCCAGCCCTGGATAAACCTCCAATTGCCCAAGCTTCTATAAATCCTTTCACATCAGCCGAGAAGCACATCTTAACCCCAAACAGATTCAGCACTCTCATCCAAATCCAATGGGTAAAGTTGCACATCAATTGTTTTGGGCACAATTGTAAGAAAGTAAAAAGATGAGATATAAAGGGTGAATGTATATTGATGCTGCTCGGTTTGGCAGGCAGGGAAAGAACTGGAAATACATCCAAAGATCACAGCAGAGAGGTCACCTATGGTCACAAAGAGTCGTTAGAGGCCCCGGGGTGGCTTCCTGAGTGTAGAGATTTTGATGGTCAAGTTAGCAAGAATCTGGAGACGGGGACAAGCTGAAGAGCTCAGTAAGCAAGCAGAAGTGTGAGGTGAGCCAAGGTGATTGGAGAGAAAGAGGGAGCAAAGTGTGTCGAGAGTCATACCTTCGAGAGGCTCGTCTATTTATAGGGTAGGGATCCATTACACATGGGAGTAATGGATCCCATAACAGCTCCCTGGGTCAGTCTGCTTCCTCTCCCCACAATAGACATGTCATGGCCACGTGGTCAGCCATAAGCCTGCATTGCCATTAAGTGCACAGGCGTTAATTACCCGGTCAGGTTGGCCTACGTATAACGGCTGACTGTTACAATTCCACACATTGTGTTGGCGTTAATTAACGGTTGGGTTGCCCCATTTTGACCTGGGTGGCCAGGGTTTAAATCTTGGAAACAGCCTCTCTATATGTGCAGGGGTAAGGCTGCTTACGTCTGTCCCTCCCCAGCCCTGCATTGTTACAATTCCACATTGCATTCAGGCTACCTAGCAAAGTTACTGAATTGCTCTCTGAGGTGGGACATATGGCGATTTCCCATTGGTGCAGGTCGTAGAGACACATCAAGAATATTCAAAAACCATAATATTTAATAATATTGTTTATGTGAGATGTGTCCATAAATCTTACTTTTTAGTCTCAATTAGTTGGACTCGATAACACTTGTCAGATTCCATATCCCTGTCCATGCAACCACTGGTAAAACTTCTACACCTTATGTTTTTTATTCATTTTTTTCTGAATAATAAATATAATGAAGACTAAATTTTCTATCTAAATCTAATCCAGAGATGATAGATCCTTCCACTTAAAGAAGAACATGCCTCATGAAGAACTCAAATGGTTGCAGAAACTAAATTGGTCTAGTTGTGTTGATCATTTTGTTTCTTCAATTGAATTTATTGTGGATTCAAGATTTACAAGCCTAATTTACATTATGTTGTGTAACTAGGTGTTTCGTGCTTATAGTTTATATGGCAACATAATTTATAAATCATTCACTCAGAATTCTTACAGTTCTAGGATCCTGTGGCTTGTGATTATCCATATTAGCAGGCTGTTTGCCCTCTGATGGATAGCATAGTAGATACTCTGAATAATGAGTACCAGGATTTCATTGCTGCTGCAGCTGGTGTGCTTGAAGCCAAAGAGATTTCTGGTGGCCAGAAAACAGCTGCCACTGATGCTGCTCTAGATAACTTTAAGCAGCGTTGGGAATTGTTTAGAGTAGCTTGTGATCAAGCAGAGGAGTTTGTGGAGTCTGTAAAGCAAAGAATAAGTTCTGAATGTCTGGTGGATGAAGCAACTGGATCAGTTACACAGAAGTCTGGGCAGGCTACCACCACTGGCCTTCCACCTATCAGTGCAGTTAGGTTGGAACAGATGAGCAAAGCTGTTCGATGGCTTGTGCTTGAACTCCAGCATGGTTCTGGAACTGGTGCTACTACTTCTCATCCCCATTCTTCTGTTCCTTTTGATGCCAGGTTTTCTGAAGATGCAGCTTAATAGGGAATCATCTCCACAAATTGCATGATTCCATCTGTTATTTTTGTTGTCTCTTAAATTCAGATAGATGTTATTACTTTAATTTTGGCCTTTCAATATTATCGTGTGTTCTACCAAAAAAAATATTACCAAGTGTGCTACTTTCTAATTCATTCTAGAAGATAATGCTTTATTTTATTTTGAAATTTTCCCTTCTATGATATGTATACTACTTGTTTATTATGCCCACTGCAGATGTCTGGCAAGGGGAGATGAAGCCAATGTGATTTTAGAATCCAATAATCCTCAATTATACACCAGCTTGAACTTGTAATCTTTTGCTTGGAAGAAGGTGCCGCAACCACCCTAATCCCAGGCAAGGGCAAAGAGAAACACAGTAAATACTGCATTTGAGATCTCCTAGACATAAATGAAACAAGCGAGACTTATCACAAATTCACAGACATTGATGTCTCATTTTGATTAGGGTAATTAATGTCCCAAAGAATCCGTATCTATGTTATGATATTAGAATCCGAACTTCTAGCATTCCCCATGCACGCCCCAATACATCTCTCTTCGATACCAATACATTGAACCTTGATGCTAATGTAGAAAGCTGCTGAACCAGGTGGTTCTTCTGATGAAATCATCGAAACTGACCAAAACCGAGGACTCAACTGGCTATCTGGGTTACTGGGTTACGGTTTAACTGCCCATGTCAACAACGGTTTGAGCTTTGAAAACACCCGCTTTAGAGTTTAGACTCAGTATGGAACAACGGATTTCACCATTAGGCTCCATTTGCTTTCAGTGCAAATTCATTTACACTAGTACACGTGTATAGGAGTGCAACTTCTGATTTATTTTTGCATCTACAAGTTTTACTTTGCTTCAGGATTTACTTTACTTTATTTGTATTGCAAATGAAAAAAGAAAGAGAAAAACAATTTATCAAATACGATTTTATTTATCTCAAAATCTGATTATCATGATAGAAAGCTTTGTTCCTTCTTGCCCATTGATTTTACTTCCCATGATGCTATGTGACTCCATGCCAATTAATTTGATACTAGCGGAGGGGACCCTAGTTTGCAGGGGCTGGAATAAAATTGTAACATTGTTATTTGCTACATTAAAAAAGATAATGGTTTCTTAATAAGAAACTTGCAATTATAAGTACTCAAGTCTTAAAACTCGTATAAAGACTTAAAAGAGATCATCATGTGCTCGTTTTTTAAATATTGTTTCAACAAAGCATCTCATATAAAAGAAAATGATCATATAGTAATAGTTCTTGAGTTCTACTTTACATTTATCATTTGTTTCACATCGAGAACTCCCAGTTGACCCAGATTGTAGGACTCTTTGGCCCGGGAACCTTCTAGGAAACCAATTATGTTTTACTCCAAACCCGGTCCTTGGCCAAAAATAATAAATTTAAAACAAAAAAATATTAATTGATAGTTTTAATAATATTATTATGATTTAAACATAGGTTTGATATATTGCAAATAGAACCCATGTTCTAATTTTGTATTTTGTTTGTACTAATTCATTTTAATTAATTAATTTATATTATTATTAAAATTAATAATTTTTATGAGTTGAGACCKTTACTATGCATAGTGCCTATACTACACAAGAGACTTATAAATTTTAATAAAAGTTTAAAATGTAGAGTCCGTTTTATCACTTAGACAAAGAAGACAAGTTAAACAGGTCTATATTGACCCATTTTTTAAAACAATTCTGGTTTATCTATAATTTATATATAATTTAAAACTTAATAACTATAATTAATAAAAATTATTAAAGTTAATAAAGTATTAAAAAACTAAAGATAATCTAGCAACTATTAGAAGTTAAGAAATTAACGGTTAGTAGTTCATAAATTAAAAAACTAAAATACAATTTAATTCTATTTCAATATTACTAATAATAATAAGATAATTAAAATTAATAATAAAAAGTAAACAATTATGAAAAATAATAAAAATAAACCATTTGCATTCCATATAAAAATTAAAAAAATTAATTATGTCATAAGACTCCTACTTAGGGAAGATCATTTATAACTTAGCCCAACCTTGGGCTTAAGCAAATAATGCGGGAATTAGGATTGTGAAATTAATAGAATTAATAAAAATTATTATTGGTAGGATAATTAAAATTAATAATTAAAAGTAGCAAATCATTTATAACTTAGCCTAACCTTATTAGATCTATAAATTTCCATGCTCAATCAACTTTTTTTAGTTAGGTCTAACTCAAAAATGCACCAAGCAACCTTATTATTATTAATTACACTTAAGGTGTGGGTTGGGCAAGGCCAAGCAACCTTAAAAACTAATAATGCACTATCAAAATTTAGCCTGAGATTTTTAATTTTTTGGTTCATTGGGCTACACAATGGGGGTAGCCAATCCTTCATAGCTATTTTAGCTTCAATATTATCTAAAAATAGTTAAAAAAACAAAAAATAATGCATGCATGGGTTGCACTTGGTTTGGTTCAGTCCAATTACGAATATTACGATGCATGCAACTTGGGTGGGTTGGGTAAGATGAGGATCAATCCAAGTCTAATCCAAAGTCTTAAACCTTAAGTTTGGGCTTAGATTAATTTAATTATGAATAAAAACAATTAAATATAGATTAATTTAACTATGACTATAGCCTAATTTTATATATTTACTAATATTTAAGTATTTTAAACATTTAAGTGATATTTACAAATAATTAAAATATTTAATTATTAATAAAGTAAAATAAATAAAATAGAACACTAACAAATAATATGGAAAAACAATTATTTTATTAAGTAATTAGCAATAACTTATTTTTTGTTAAAAATATTAATATAATTAATTCAAATTACTAAATTAACATTTTGTAACAAATTATTAAAGTAAAGATTTAATTATTTTAAACAACATCGCATTCTTTCTGTTGGGGTCATGGCTAAGCTGGCCTAGAGAGATGTGTGGCCACCCAGTTACTGCCTGACCACGTCGGCATAGCTTGGTCACGTCAGCTCAGCTTGGGCACAATGGCTCAGCCCGGCCACGTCGGCATAGCCCAACCGAGATATGTTACTGTCGTGGTCCCCCGCCTTATCCCTCCTGCCATGTCAGCTACACGCCACGTGGATAAGCCCGACTACGGATAAGGGTGGGAAGACAACTTCGCTGAGGAGTAGGACTCTACMTTGGTAACCTCGGCAGAGAACTCTATCCCGATTATCTTGGAACCCTAATCCGACCAGGAGATGGACCCTCGACTATAAAAAGGTACTCCATGCTCGAGGTAAGGAATCCCAACTTCTAGCACCCATACCGCTACTTTGCTCAGACCAGCACCCTCATTGCTCGGCCCGACCATCCACCGCCCTCTCACTAACTTGAGTGTCGGAGTGTCTACCCGAGGACAACTCCTCGGGCCTCTAACTTCTCTTGATCACAGGATACATAGCGCGGCACCATCCTTGTAAGCTCGGCACCGACCAGTCAACAAGGATCATCTGGTTGTTCTCCTCAGTTCGTGGACCACCTCGAATTGAGCAGCATCAGATTGGCACCGTCTGTGGGAAGCGCACAAAAAGCCTTCTCGAAAAATTTCTTATCGCGCAACCTCAAAACCGATCAAGATGCCTAAAAACCAATCTGAACGACCAATAGGCCGTTCCCCGTCTCGGGAGAACCGACATCATAGCTCCTCGCATCAGGAAGCCCCGCAGCCCTCGGCCGCAATGGACCCAACACAGTTCCGAGCTATGCAAGAGAAGGTCGACAAGATCTTCGAGTTCATGCAAGCGCTGGGGTCTGTTGCGCTGCCCAACTGGGCCGTCCCCTCTCACGCCCCGATGCGCATGAAGGATGATCCTCGGACCGAGGACCCCAAAGTATGTCAGTTGGATGTGAGGGGAGCACAGTCCGAGAAAGAGAGGCAGGACACAACCCAAAGGCCCGCCTCTACTGTCCGCTCCCACGAGCAGGACCACCACAGCCAGACACGCCAATCAGCTCGGATCCCCGCCAAGGAGAGGTTCAGCAAGAGGATGCCGCCCTTCATGGTCTTCGTTGCCGAGTCAAGCTCAATAAAGGACTGCCCTGCGTGACCTAAGAAGGAGAAAGCCACCCACATTATGGCCCCGAACAACAGAGACGCTGAGATTAGAGAGCTCCGGCAATGTGTAGAAGAACTGGAGCACACTCAGACCCACAAGAGCGTGACGCCTGCCGTGAACCAGCCGGCGTGGGCTGCCGCGCATACCGCGAAGGAGCCGCCCTTCGTCTAGGACATCATGGACGAAATGCCCCCTGCTGGATGGTGAGCCCCCCAGTTCGACAAATACGACAGGAACACCAACCCTTTCGACAATGTCACGGCACTCAAAGCTCAGATGATGTTGCACGGCGTGTCAGAAGGATTGATGTGTAAAGCCCTTATAGCCACCCTACACGGTCTAGCTTTGGCGTGGTACTCCTCTCTGCCGCCGCGCTCCATAGCGTCATGGGACTAGTTGGAGACCCAGTTTACCGCTAGCCAGAAGCATTGGAAAACCTCAGCCAGCCTCATGCAGATCCGACAGAAGAAGGCGGAGTCCCTTAGAGATTACCTAGCGAGGTTCAACAAGGAAGCACTCTAGGTCATGGACTTGAACCAATCAGTCACAGTAATGGCTACATAGCATGGGCTCCGCCCTTCTCCGTTCAACTTCTCCATCTCCAAAAATCCTCCTCAGACGCTAGCCGTGCTAATGAGCCATGCACAGAAGTATATTAACGCTGAAGAAGCTCAAGCGCAACCCAGAGACGAAGATGAGAAGCCCGAGAGATACCGACGAGTGGAAGTCCGAGAGGTCGGACAGAGATCACAAGAGATAGGATCACCGGCCAGACCATAGACCTCGGACCCCTTCATCAACCTACCGGAATTTCACGCCGCTCAATATTCTGCGGTCTGAAATTCTGATGCAAATCCGTGACTGCAACTACGCCAGGTGACTCGAGAAGATGAAGGCACAAAGTAATAAGAGGAACTGAGACAAATACTGCGAGTTCCACAAGGACCATGGCCATGACAGGAGAACTGTTTCGACCTACACAACCATATTGAAGATCTGATTAGCCCTCAGCGGCTTCATAGACAAAAGTGAGAAGCCATCCCATGAGGAGCAGAGAATGAATGAAGATCGACAACCG